TACTTGTGTGCTTGCGCCCCTTGGAGGCATCTTGTTCGTGTCCAAACTGTAATCTTCATATTCAATAAACACCCCTTTTTGGGACTTTGTTCCAAGAGGTTTGTCCCTTACACAATCGTCTGATTCCCTTTTTAATTGTTAGCGAGCGAAAACGCGCGAAACAGGTACCAACTTAGAAGATTATGTTAGACACAATATTTGAAAAAGAACTTATAATTTTACTTGAATGCTAAAACACTCATCTAAATTATGGCATAATTTAATCCATTTAGTTTTCAGAAGAGTACTCACGATGGCATATAACTTGAAAATCAGATAATAGTGTACAATACTTATAAAATTGAAAACTTCCTCCAAATGTACAATTTTGTTCAAGACTGCATACTAAACACGCCTTGTGATGTACATTCTTTCATGCATCGCTATGGTGCCACTAGCAAGTATTATATGTTTCAAGAAATAAAGCTAAAGCAGTAAGAATAGAGCCCACAACTTTTCAACAACACATTTCATTTACTTTTATCAAAATCTATTTAAAATCTGATTTTAATCTAACCAAACATGGGCTGAATAAGATTGTAGACAAAATATAAATAAAAATTTCATTTTTATACTGTTTTAAGAGCATACATACACTGAATCGGTTAAAATATGATAAAATTAATGGATAGAGACATCTAACAAAACTTATCCTATTGTCTTGTTTAACTTTTTATTATATAGGATTCTTAACATATTGGGAAATGCTAAGTGTACATCGGGTTTGACAGCCTGTAAATAGCATTTCCCTAACATTTTATAAGCTCTTGTGAATAAGAAATTTTGAATGGCCAAACTTTTGGCTTATCTGTAATATTAACTCACAAAAATCAAATGAGAAATGGATTATAGCTCTAAGACTTGCTGAAATTAATGTAACTAATATCACATGCCATTGAGTGCACAATGCATCCAAAATCTTTTATTTTCTTCTGTTTGGGTTCTGGGAAGTTCTCTATTTACACTTTTTTTGGATGACGAAAATCTATCTAAAGGAACATACCACCTTATTTCTACAGCCCTTCTAAATATATGCAAATATAATTTTCCCACAACCTTGACGGTGATTGAACCGAAATCATCAGATTTGAGGAAAACTAAGTAGTTTCATCAAAATTGACCCTCTCACCTGTAGAGAAGAGATTCCAGAATAAAGCAGCAGAGATATACAGGAATGCTGTCAGCAACAAAAATCCCTTGAAAGAACCCACTAGTTCGACGAAGAAACCAGCACCAACTGTTCCCACCATAGCAGCGAACGAGCCTGCAGTATTCGAAATACCTATATGTTGATTGGAAAAAGATCAATTATGTCACCAAAACAGCTTAAGCATGACAATCTAGATCACTTATAAAATGCTTGGTAAAAGGGATTGGAAAGCATGCGACAACATTACACAAGAAAAAGAAGCTAAAATTTTGTTTATTATAGCAAATATTGCAGTCTTTTCAGGCAGTACGTACCAAACATGATCTATGGCTATTGTATCACAAACAAATTGTATCTGCCAATTAACTTGCTGGATGAAACAGATCATCCTGCCTAATCTTATAAAACGATGTTGCCAATGGGTGTCTATATGCAAGTAAAGAAATGTCAGAATACGAAAAATGACCAGGCCTACTTCATAAGGACGTAAAAAGAGTGACGTTGGCTTATTCTTTCCCCAATCCCCTCCCCACCCACTGGGTGCACAGAGTGTGGCGTAGAACACTGGGAAAGAAGTGAGCATGTTTGGCTAGTCTAAAAACAATTATGCTACTTGTATATTATTTATTTACAATTTGGATAACATCTAGGTGGCAAAATCAAGGTCATTGCTTGTTTTAAGTGTTGAAGAAATCAATAGTAAAATTGTGTGCCACATGGTACAATGTAAAGCAAAATGTCAACTAGAATGTATGTGTAGCAAGATTGATCTAAAAAATCAATAAAAGTTACTTCTAAAAAAAATTGTGTCCAATATATTTGGATAACTTAATGTTCAAGTAAAAAATAATTACTTAGTTCAAAAGAAACTCTTGCAAGTAATTTATTTCCAATTTTGAGCAGTAAAAACGATTACTCATTTAAAAAATTTTAACACAAGAATCCGGCAAGTCCGGGGATTTTTTTTTTTCTTTTAGGGTCAACCCCTTCTCCTCGTTCTTCCCTTTTTGTTTCTGATCTTTCTATTGCATCGACGAAGGTAGATGTTCTTGATGATGGATCCACATTTATATTTATATAGCAGTGAACTGTACTCAGTAGACGTAGATCCAATGCTTTATCGCGAGGTTAAGCCTCAATGAGTACAAATCATTAAGCAGAAAAGATGGAGAAATTACCATGTAGAACACCAGAGTACTGTGGGGCAATCTCCTGGGCACAGAAGAATATGACAGATAAATTATAATTGCCCAATATTACCGAAATGAGTAATAATATTGTACAGAGTATGTTAACCTGAAGGTTCACAAGGAAGCCGCAGTGACTAAATGCTTTCAATCCAACAGCTACAGTTAACCAAGCAGATGCCAGTAATGGACTTTTTGCTGTCGTTAAACCAATGAGAGCAATGCCAGGCCCGATAAATCCGATAGACTGCCAACAAAATATAAAGATATAATATCAGATGCATATCATTTTTATAGAAAAGAAACAGGTCGAAGAATGATCACTTGTCAAAAATAAATAAATAAGTATAGGATTGAACATACAAGCAACTGGGGTGATGGTGATCACTTATTAAAAAAGATAAGTAAATCAAATGATAACTACCCATCGATGGAGATAGAGATAGAATTTAGATAGGATTTTAAAATAGAGTTCAATTCAAATTATGATTGTTTAGATTAGATTAGATTAGTTTTAATAGTTCTATAAAGTTCTTGTTTATTAAGGGGGTGTTTGATGCACACTATTAATGGAAGAATGTATTTTAAATAGTGATGTGATGGAAAATATGTGGTTAAAAAATAAGGAAAAGATTTGGATGTGATGGAAAATATTATTTTATTGAAAAATGTGTGGTTGAAAATGAGTTTTGAAAGAATGAATTTTGAAAAAATGAAGATCAAACAGGGGTAAAATATTCTTTTGATTTTAGCTTCTTTGCACCATATAAAGAGGCTTATCCATTGTAATAGGTACCCCTGGAATATATGAAATAACTTGATTTTTGTCTTCAATTGTTTGCTATCAAATTGTTACGTTCCTATGTCACCCACAATCTAGGAACATATTAAAAGTAGCCTATGATTATGAGAATCTATATTATAATGGAGCAGGTTAAAAATTAGATTACTCTAAATTTCAATAATCATAAAAGCTACCAGCAAGCTGAACTACTATCAAATAGCATATTATTCCTTCCAATTACAATCAACACNATTACAATCAACACAGTTGTATATTACTAATCTTCAACTGCTCATACAAATTTTCAGGAACCAAATTTGTTCAACGTGTCAAGGATATTAATCTTAGAACACAAGAAACAGTGATTTAGATTTGAATAAAGCTAAATATTGTACATGTATATTATAATGAATCTGATTAGCCAAACGACAAAAAAAATATGTCCACTTGATATTTTTATTTTGCTCCAAGCTCGAATTAACTTCGGGAAAAGATATTAGGACATCTTCCAAATTCCAAGTCAACAAAGATAAGCAGCTCTCCTTTGGGACTAAGAGTGTCAATTGGCCACATCGGTCAGAATTTCTTCTATTTATTTTTTGTATTTTTCTTTTTGCTAAAATCCAGAACGTTAAAAGAAGGAAAAGAATAGAAAAGAATTGGTTGGCACTCGGGCCAGTTAACAGCCCTCTTCTCTGGCTAACCAACCCTTTTACAAATGTGACCGAAGATATGCTCGGTGATGTTTTTTATCTTATGTCATAAAGATTAAGTTTATATTTATTAACAATTCACACATAATTTTTGCAGCTGCGCTAAATTACAGAGATGCTACCATTTTATGAAGAGGAGGAAAAATAGGCTCTTTGAGTTGGATTAAATTTCAGAACAAAGAGTTGATGATCATGAGGTTCATTGAATGTTTGAAAAAAACACCTTCCCCCCCCCCCCCCCCC